AATTTCTAAATTTTTAGGGCATTGTATAGCGGGTCTTAATATGAAAAAAGTCATTCCTTTTTTCTTCCTTTTGCTATTTTCATCGTCATATTTTTCAACAAATCCCAATCAAGCGTCTGTGGAAGGCGCACAAAAAGCCAGATGAGTAGAAAACCAATCTCGTTTTCGATGACCTCATTCCCTTGAGCAGCGGTCAGGAGCGCAGCAATGCGCAGATAGGGCGCACTGCTCAGAAAAACTTTCTCCTTGATTTAGAAGCATATAACCTAATGCTTCTGTTGTTATCTATCCCACGTGACAGCACTAAGTAACGATAAGCGTATGATATTAATTGCCCGCTTCTAAAGCGCTCTCTTCTCATGGAATCCTTTAGCCTGTTTTTTTTTTTCAGTGTTTATGTGACTTACAATAGGATAGCGGATAGCGCAGAAAACCTAGAAACTGATATGATTTTACCAGCACAATAAATATCTGAATACGTCCCTTATCTCTCAAGATCAGATTTACGATTCTCCCTAGTCAGTGAATTTCATATTTTACTAAGATTAGCCATCCTCTCTTTAGTCAGAGTTACCGGGTCAGGGGGGGAGCACCTTCTTCCTTCATATCATTCATTTCTTTTGTCACCGAGCATTTTTATTTTGGGGTACTTGTCAAACGTTAAAGTCGACCGTATATTTCACTATAGAGTGCGAGCAATCACTCCTTTTCTGCGAAGTACATTGCGTGGATTGAAAAGAATCTGCGGAAAAAAGAATATGATGTTTGCGCACCGCTCGAAACTCTGGGAGCGTGGCGCACGAAAACCTAATTATGTATCAATCGCTATCATCTGTATAACAATGGGATGAATTGTTTTTAACAACAAAATCATCACCGATGTTTACATTTTGGAAGCGTATCAACAAAGGTGCCGCTGAAATATGAATTGTTCATCTCGGAAAACCACGATAATCCTATCTTGCGGGGGTAATAGATTTGACGACGGGATATTTTATTAGTCTCCCGATTATAATTGGCCGAAATTTGTAAATTATATAAACAAATAATTTGGAGCGTGATGTATCTAGACGGACAATCAAAGAAAAGGTTGATAAAACGGTCGCTCCTTTTCACTTAAAGATGATTAATGATCTTTCTCTTTTTTTTCGAACTTTATTTTTATCGAAGATTATTATTATCCGAACAAACCGCGGCACTACGTCAAAGCACAATTAAATAAGGGTTATAAATCATTTATCTCACAAGTTTAACATTCCTGGGATTTTTGTCACTGTCTTGTTAGGTCTTGTTACTCTGGCGGAATTACTAACAGTGATGTCAGAACTCAATTTTATGTTGATGATATGAACAAGAGATGGATTCCGCCAGAGACTTCCTACCAACTCGAAGTCACTGAATTAGTCAAGTTATTTAAGGGTATAATTAGATCACAAGTACTTTTTTCAGTTTCGAATTCATTTGTCTAAGGGCCTCTACGAATGAGCTCGATCTCTCAAGTTTCATCCCAGTCCTGGAAACTAAGGAGGAGTATTACTAATAGGAAAGTTTTAAGTGCGGATACCGTTTTTGCAATGAAGATAGGTAATCCGCGTTTTCATTTTAACGGATCGAATTTTGAACGGTGACGGAAATAGAAGTGTATCAAGATCTAGGAAATTGATACGGCCCACTGAGTTGACCGCTTTTAGTTCATCATAAATTAAATTTTCCTTTTGAAAAATAACGTGGCTAAATGTGAGCAAGGCAAGCAGGCTGAAAAAAAAATTACATTTCGAACAGAAGGCATTATTCAACCTGTTACCAGGCTCACGAGTTGAGGCCCCATGGAGTACTGGAGTCAACGACTGTAAAAAAGAGACCATGTTTTATTCATGTTGGTCCTCGGTGCCTTTGCAGTCTTTGTGGTCAGACGTTTGGTAGATATGAAGGGATAAGTGGATAAGGAAAACAAAAGGAATAATATATCATAATCTGTGTAGTGTGATAGGTCTTAGTAACTTTGAATTAAGAAGGAAGAACTTGACAATTAACTGAAAGATTATACTGATGTGTACTGATTTAAAATAAAGATATTATATTCATGACCTCTTATTCTTTGAACTTATTCCTAAAAAAACGTTTTTTCAAAAAACAAACGAAACGAACGCAAATTAAACGAGGAAAAGGATACAAATTGTAACCTCGTGCCATGAAATAATCAATTTCTCTCGTAATGTACTTTTATATGTAAACCCTTCTTTTTTCAAGATTTTCCCACACAAAATGGCGGAAATACCTTCAAACAGAGTCATCGGATGGGTCGCCTTAGTAAATAAATTGAAAATTCGAAGTCACGTACTTACCAAGTGCCTTTCTGATGAGAGGCTCCAAAACAATACAAGCTACCGGAAATGTCTTTTCTTCTAACCTACATAACCGGAAGTGGGAATATTGAGGCAAAGGCGGGCGAAAAGTGCCGATGTAGCGAAGTGATCAATCGTGCGATCTTCGTAAGGATTCGTGACTTAAGTGGAGAGACAAATTTTTTTACTTCATATTCTATATCTTGCTATTTTTGACCTCTTGCAGCAATATTTACTCTCCCACTGTGTTATCTTTTGTCTTCAAAGAATAGCTGGCCTTGTTCGTGAAGTTGTTATAAGATTAAGAAGTTTGTCACGCCGAAGTCGCGTAGATGACATCACAGGCCGAGCGACAAGTGGGGTCAAAATCTTAGCACACTTTTCGATGTTGCACTCGGAACTGGTCAAACCGCAGTGTGAATTGTTTCGCCCGTTCTGGCTTTCCGTCATGTGAGGATCAAACAAGATGCTTAACATTCTATCCACTGAAATAGGTATTAGATCGGAGCGACAGATAGGAAGGTTTAGCCATTGAACGCGAGATTTTTCGGGTGACAGAAGAAAAATTCGCTCGCGCCCAGGAAATTTGACCGCTACTTCTTGTTCTCAAGTTTTAGTAAGGATGGATAATTCGTCAAGAACTAACGGACCGCAAGTGTGTTCTACAGAAGTCGGGGAAAATGAGATTGACTACAAACAAAGATGTAAATATCTGGAAAACCAACTGGAAAAATTTCGCGAGCAGGCGACGAAAGTTCGCGAAGTCATTGGGCAAAAGGTAAATTGTAGTTTTCTGTTCTGTGACTATTTTATTTAAATCTACTGTTCGAATCGCTCCATCACATTTATCGAATGGCTTTATTTGTTTCTTTGTTTTCACAGTATTCGTCGCGGTTTGGTATGATATAACTTATCTCGAAAGATCTTGATCATGAGTTAGTAGCGTTGTGTATATAGTTATGTTTGTATTCAAATTATGCCCAGCTGATCGATAATAACAAGAACTTTGTTAAACATCCATGTGTCTTGAGAATGCTCTTTTAATCGCATTCTACCGTTACGATATTACTTTAAAAGGTGCGCATCTCTTCAACATTATCGCGGCAGCAAACAAGATTATATTCAAGCACAGCTATAGTCAACACCCATAGCGCGAGGTTGAGACAAACCGCCATTTAAGCAAAAATGAAATATGAGAGTAATATATTAAATTGAACTTGACACCTTTGATTTCAATGAAACGCGAATGTTTAGCACGGCTGAAATTCAGAGTAATTTTTATGGCTAGCATTAAAAGCTTGCGTTTTTAATCTAGCAAATGCGCTGTAAGTATTGCGATTCATCCCTGAGTGGATCAGAGGAGCTTGAATCAAGCCAATTGAAAAGTCGACTTCCCAGCTGTTAATGATTCATGAATAGTTGTTTGCACACAAAACAGCATGCACATAATTTTACAAACATTGTGTTTGACGAAATTCTGCTAAAACGCTCAAGGAAGCGAACACTTTTCTACACTGATATGGTGTCGCTGAAACGACATCTGCAGAAAACCGCACGTTGACAAGTTGTCGATTGCTTTCAATTTAGTCGTTAAACGATGAATGATTGGAATTTTTTCTACCAAAATAGCCTCGAGATTATTTAGAACTACATGATTATCTTAAGTATGGCGCTAACAATGCCGAAGACAAGGGAACATCAGATGAAATATATTAGCAAGGTTGAAATGAAAGTGTATACACGCGTTTTTATTAGATGTAATGACATCAGTGATTACCTCTTTCGAAGATACAAAAAGATCATGTAGAATATCCGATTGTCTGTTCTTAAACTGCCCTAAATTTGATACAAGATGTCTGAAAAAATATTTTTAGGAATCAAATACAACATATTCTGAAGTTGATATTGAAACTACTTTATTTTGACAGTGAGCATTATGTAAATAATTTGTCTGTGCTACATATTTAACAGGCATGATTGAGCAGCTAACGTTTCAAATGCTTTTTATGTATTTACATGAAACTTTCAGTTTTGTGTTTAAAAATGGCTTCTGTTCAGCTTTTAATTTCTAATTCCAAAATTATCCTGTGTCTGGACTGTGTCTTGCACAATTGTCACCTTGGATGATATTATATTATTTTCAGTTTTAAGTTATACCTCTCCAGGAGTCTCAATAAAAGGCAATTGCTTGTTGACAGCATTTTACGGCATACTGCTCATGCTTTCTATTTTCTTAACTTTTCAATTTTTTGCCATTTGTCACAGCTACATATATCAAATCTTGTTGAGGACCTTCTTTTGATATTGTGATATTTGACACTGTTGACTAGCAATTGACATTTTTGTGCCTTTAAATTCAATCTGATTGGAACTACATGTATGCCATCATAATTTGAGTCATTTTTTTGGCATCTTTGAGTATCAGCTTTAAATCAAAACTTGAAACAATCATTTGCAAGGAAAAATGAACACCAAAGAGGTAAGAGTTTGCCTAGAAAGGACAAGAATGGTTTAGAATGTAGGATATTAAACCCACTACATACAATTGATAATCTTGAACAGGTTTGGCTTGATTTTAAGTAATGGGCAATCGGCACACGACCTACATGTATGTCTAGCCAAAACTTGACAGCTTTCGAGGCTGTCTCTGTCTTCACTTCATAATCATGCATGTTACATGATCAAACACACATAACTGTTACCTAGATTTTAGCCCCACATAAAACTGTCTGTTCTTGAGGGATTTTGTGATTATTAGGAGTAGTGACTGTTGCCTAAATTTTAGCCTTGTATGAAACTGTCTGATCTTGAGGGATTTTGTGATTATTAGGAGTAGTTTGGCTTTATTTGTAGAAAGTGGTGGAAGTTTCCTTGATTCTTACTGCTGTTAGATTTTGACTGTAAAGCAATTGATCCAATGTAATTTCCTTCTGGCACACAACAATGTGAAAATATGTCTCACAAATTTCACTGATGTAGCATCATTTGTGGTCATAAATCTATCTCAGATTATTGTGGTCAGCTGCATGTCTCGCATGTTACTACATTCCAATTGCTACTTATAGGCAAATAACAGAGAGGCCTCCATGTTTAGATAATCTCTTTCTACATTTTGTCTCTGAGACAAACTTTAGAAATAAATTCAGTTATTAAGGAGGAGAAGAGATGATTTCTACACCTATAGGGTATAATTTTCAAACCAGTTTGAAAGATTCGCTCTAATGGATTTGCTCTGACTAACAAAGAGTTAATGCTTGAAACATCAGCTTTTGAATTTCAATGTCATGGCCAATTCACATTAGTAAATTGGTTTATAAAGCCGAATTATCTTGTAATACTCTTTATCAATACAGTGCCAAAGTTTCTTTAGAAACTTGCCAGCTTTATTCATTTGTTTGAGGTTAAGTTTAATGTATTGATTTTACAACAAAAGAAAACAAAGACAAACCAATTTGAACAATGTCAGCATAGATTTTAGGCTGATATCAATCACTTAAATTGGTTTAAATATAGTTGATCACTTGTGCATAAAAAATGGTCAAACTGCATTCAAAAGAAGTGAAAAGTGGTTGTGTGACAGCTGAGAGTGAGTTCTCAGGAAGCAATATGTATGCTTTGGCTTCTTTTATTTTTTGTTCTTTTGTTCATCTAGTTAGGAAAAACAGAGAGTGAACCAAACATATTCACCTCAATTTGTGCAACAAGTTCATGTTCCCAACTGAACTAGTGGGTATGGGCTTGAATCTTTTTCAGGCCTTATTTCAACTACTAGTTTTATAGTGTTCATAACTGCGAGGATCACCTATATTCGTTTCTTCTACCGCAGTGCACTTATATGATTTTCATATATTTACAGTCATAAGTTCACGTTCATTTGCATCATATTATTGTGGTGGGCAATTTTTTTTCATACATATATTAAGTGTTTTAAACAAGATTTGTTTGTGGCTAAAACCTACTTAGTTTAGAGGTAGTTGTCATATTTTGAATCAGCAATTTTTTACTTGCAGCACCTTTACACTGTGTTAACTCTTTGCTAACACTGATTTAACAATGTGTAATTTTATGTACTGCACTTATAACATTGAAAATTGTTCAATTTTGTCTTACAAAGTTAAAAGGTATGGAAGAACAGGCAGCAACTGCTTATGCAAAAGCGTCGGAATCTGCCCAAGAGGTACTAATGCTAACACGTGATTCGTTAAACCTGTAGCACATGCAACTAAAACATTGATATTATAGATAGCCTTTTTTGTTTTTTAAACAAATAATTCTGATTTCTTTAATATGTACAGCAATAGATATATTTCACAAAGTTTGATCCTGATTATGTATCTTTTGCTATGTGTAGCTCTCGTACATAAAAGTGTACCAAAGTGGGTCATTACCTTAATTTTCTGAACTGTTCTGCAGTATAACCCTGCTTTTCAGTTACTCATGAAATGAACTAACTAATTATAATGTATTAATAAAAATTTAGGTATACATGTTGTAACCACTCTTGAATTTTTGGACATAGAGCAGATCTAAATTTACTTTTTAATTTGTTGTTTATAACTTTGTTTATTGGCTTACCTCATTATCGTAACTGAAATCTATGTTCTTGGTGACATAGGGGTTGAAACTCTGTATGTAACTATTGAGGTGAAAAGCTGTTAATTGTTATTTCTGGCATTTTGAAAAGAAAACTTAGCATCTCTGGAACTAGGAGTTCTATTTGAATGACCCTGACAGGTTTGCTCTCCTGTTTGCATCTCAGGTCCAGCATTTGGAGACATTGGTTTCGGCAAAAGAAGAAACAGTTGCACAGCTACAAGTAGAACTGGAAAATGAGGTATCATTATCAGTATTGACCCTACTTCTTTGCTCTAGGGAGGGGTGGGAAGGGGGGGGAAACTTGGCAAATGAGACTAACCATCTCTTTTGTGAAGAAAAAACTTTGTGGTAGCTACTTCAATTTGTTAGTTGCTTATACCTAGTATTGACCCTACTTCTTAGCTCTAGGGTGGGGTGGGAATGAGGGAAACTTTGCAAATGACACCGCCCTAATCATCTCTTTTGTGAAGAAGAAACTTTGTGATAGGTACCTCAATTTGTTAGTTGCTTATACTTACCAAATTATTTCCTAATATTTCATGCAGAAACAAAAGCGGCTCATCCGTGAAAGAGAAGTGGAAGAAAAAGCTGCTCGTATAAAGAGCTGGATGCATAAGAAGATTTCAGAGGTACTTTTAATCTAGAGATGTTTCTTTTTTTCTGTGGTCTTGAAATTGCAGATGGTACAGTACATGTATTTAAATGTACCTGTAAGAAGTTTTTCATAGGGATCAACTCTGATTACTTACATGTAATTCTGGTCCAAGTGCATGTTATTTTGTTCTTTAATTATGTGGAAGGAAAAGAATCAGTCACAAGCAGGCTTTTACCTTATCTCTGTTAGTATGAGGAAAAATTAGGAGAACTGAATAAAGAGAATGAACATTTAAAGACGTCCCACAAGCAAGCCATGGATATGGTCAAGGAAATTGAGGAAAAGCTCAGATTTTCCCAAGGTATGCTATATTTTAAAATACAACACCTTGTAACATCCTTACTCCTCCAACAAAAGGGATTTCCTGTGAAGTAATTGCTACTTTCATGAAATTGATAATGGCTTAGAAATGCTTAGCGCAGCACTAAGCAAGTGGTACAGACATTGCTATATAAATGATCCCTTTACTCACAAGAATGATGTGCTTTAGATGTTCTTACACTAAACCTGTTTGGGGTGATGCAATTTCATCTCTGGTGCTACAAGAATTTGGAACAACAAGATAGTAACATGAAGCAAACCAGTTCCTTTACACAACAGCCGTTTTATGTTCAAGTCTTTCAGGAAACAATATCTTTTTTTTTTCTTTTTTTTTTCTCAGAGTAAGTTGTAACTGTTTTTATGTGATGGTATAATGATAGTCTCTTAACAAGACCACTACCCTCTTGACACTCAAAAAAAACCCTTTTTTATGAATACATTTTTTGTTTGTTTGAGTTTTTCATAAATTGTAAATAGTTACTGGAAAGCCCCTCAGGGAGAAACCTCAATGCTATATCCTTATGGTAACTTCTAAAGCAAGCTCAAAGCTTTTGTGTTTTGTAGTGCTAGTCAGCTGATATCAACATTATTATCTTGTTTTAACAGATCAAGTGATGAGATTATCCCACGAACTTGCAGACATCCAGTCACAGTCTGGTGATTATTATGAGCTAGAACCTGATGCCAATCAAGAAGAATCTGGTTTTCGATCATTTCTAACTGAGGATACTGTTGGGAATCAGTCGCCAGTAACTTCAATAAGCTCACAATGTACCACACCGACACCTATGTCACCAGATGAACTTGTAAAAACACCAACTAATGATGATAATGATGATACTAGCACTTTCATATCGGATCAATCTGCTGAAATTAAAATTAAGAGAACTTCAAGCGGAAAATCTCCATCGAAAATTCCTCGATTTATTGGGACTTCAGAGGATCAAAGAGCTGCTCAGATATCATATTATATGTCACTCAAAAGAGGAATGAGGAGTCCAGGAGGTTCTCAAGCAAAATTCTTTATACAAATACAAGACTCACATAATCCCTACATGCAATTAACTCCATTAGAGAGAATGTCACAGAGGAAACAATTTGATAGTCAGTCAACAATTGATTCAGAAATAGACGACAGTGTCTTTGAAACTTATCTACAACCTGTTGAACCTGGTAATCATGGAGAAGAATTTCATGCAAGGCTTGGTGAATTAGTGACTCTACAATTGGAGAGTGGAAGTTTAACTCCAAGTGTTGCACAAAATGAACAAGATTCTTTGTCAGGAAGTAGGTCATCTGTTGGTTCCCTCACAGAGGATGCCACCTCTGCTGATCCAATTTATCAAACTCTTGAACCAGAGCTAGACTCTGTGAGAACTAACACAGATTCAGCTGTGACTAGAAAACCCTCAGTAAATAATGGTTTTCCTCTGTCTCCCCTTCCCCCACCTGTTCCTCCACGCTTTGAATTAGAAAGTGTTGTTCCTCCTCCTGTTCCACCTGTGCCAAGAACAAACAAAGAAGAACAACTGCAAGATGTGACTAGATTGGAGGGAAAGTTTACCAGTTACTTATCAGAAACAGACCTACAAAATGGTAATGCTCCTGAGGGTAATAAAGTGGATGTTCCTGCAGCTTTGTTACAATCAAACAGAACTGATTCTTGGATGTGGAATGATAACTCAGGTATATGCTTTGTGTTTCTAACATGAATTGGACTTTACTGTAAGACTTTGAAAACCATGAAGACTGGAACTACTTGTGGGATGTGATTTGGAGGGGAGGGGGTGAGGAAATAGGTGAGACATAAGCAGTCTGACACAAATTAGTTAGGTTTGTTGTTAGCTTCCATGTGTATGAATGTTAATACAGTAACATTTTGCACATGTTTTAGGAGTTCATTGTTTTCTGAGTTTGACAGAGAAAGTGTTGTCCAATCAAGCATAAATAAGATATACAAATGTAATGTGACAATTATGCACACATTATGATTGATTCTTACCTATGATTTATTGGAGGACAGATGCATAGATGACATCTCCATTAACCCTTAAACTCCCAAGATCTTATTGTTAATACTCCTCTCTAACTGGCATACAATTCTTCCTAATTAAGTCATGAGAATTTGGTGCTAGATTAAGATAACAAATTCTTCCTGATGAGTTTGAGTATTCTCACTACCTGGTGGCTGGATAATGTACAGATATTATAGGGAGAAGATACAAGTTAAACACTTCTGGGAGTTAAAGGGTTAACATTTTGCTTTTTTTTATCTTATAAAATAAATAGATATTTACAGTTTGTTGTGGGTCAGTATACAAAAAAATTAATGTAGAAATAGATTACAGAAGACAAAAACATGTTTTAATCTTTTAACTCCTAAGATGTCAATAGCAATTCTCCTCACTACCTGCTGTATAATTCTTTTGGTGTTATTTTGGAGAATTTTTTTATTGGATCAATTGATAATCCCTCATTGATATTTTTCTTTATTCTTATCAATTGTCTGCTTGATGTTGGTTTGAAATAGTAGGGAAAAATTCAGTCTTGGTCACTCATGGGAGTTGAAGGGTTAAGAATGTCAGTGACACTTGGCTGTTTCTCATGTGCCACTTTTCGTCTTAATTCTTACCACATTTTGACATCATCTTTGATATATTACTGAAAAGATGCACAGCAACATAAAATGTCTAAATATATATATATTGGATCTGATGGGACTGAAGTATGGCGCATGTGTCATGCATGGTAGATGTATATGGAAATGGTTAAAGTGACATGCTGTAGCTGGAAAAACTGCAATCAGCAAAATTTGCATAGCCAATGTGAGAATTTAAAAATTATCATTTTCAAGGTCCATATGGTGAATTATTTTTTTTGGGAGGTGACAACTTTAACAACTATTTGTTCACAGCTGGTTCAGATACACCACCATTTGGGACACTGGAGACGCGAAGTAAAAACCTCAACATGTTAGCGGTATGACAGATGCTACCTAATATGACATTACAGTGTGATTTTATGACTCCTTTATACAGTGTATAAACTATTAATTTTTTTAGCATGATTTCCTCTTTGTTCATTTTCATAGACCTAATGGCAGTAGTTTCAAAGAAAAATGCCAAAAGTAAAATGACAAATTAAATAAAAGCTTATTAAGAGCAAAGTACAAGTCATTCTTCCTAATCATGATCCTGTAACCTCCCAAATTTTTGCGTGAAAAACTGATTGAATTAAGCAGACTTTAACTGATTTGTAAAACTTCTGTCTGCAGTTATTTTTATGTGATTCTCACATCAGAGATACAAGGCATAGTTATATTTTGATAACATCAATTTTCTATATTAATCATGAGTTAACCTTGAACATTCTACAGGAACAAAGCTGTCCTGTGTATACAACACTGAAAGGGGTATGTATATGAGAAGATATAGCTTTCTTGAATCCATGTATTATGAAAGTTAGGTTGTCTTTTTTATGGCCTAGCCATTAAATTTGCTCAAGTTTATAAATTTCTGGTACAGGAAAAAACTATATGCTGAAGCTATTTAATACTTAATTTCTCTCCTTTGATCCAGAGAGCTTCTCAGATTCGAAACACACCTTTTTCTGGAGAATCAACCGACTCCTCTGACAATGAAAGCTCTGCAGGAGACTACTGCACTCCACCAGATGAAGTGGCAGCAACAGAAGAACACCTCAACATGAAACAGAACACAGATGAGCTTCTTGAAGAAACTACACGTGTTTTGAAAACCTGTGCCACTTACACAACTGTCAGCTTGAAAAAGGTAAACACAATAATTTAAGGGCATGCAAGAGACTCTCTTGATGTATTTTTCTTGATATAACACAAACTTACCTTAACCTTTCTTAAAAGGCTTGAAGGGAGAGTTACAAATTACATCTTGTTTGTCCAAGGGTTAATGAAACAGTGATTGTGGTAGCAGTGAGATGTGGCAAGACAAGTGATGTGCCTGTTGTCTAACTTAATTTGTTTCAGAGAAATTCTGTCTGCAAGACAACAGAATGATCAACCTAATATTTAGCTGTCTGAAAAGGGAATCACCACCAGAATATTTTTATTTTGAGCTTGACCTGCTACAACATCATTAGTGTCATGAGGGAATACACACAAGAAGTTAACACAAGGCTAATGCTATGACTGAGATGTGATCCATTTACTGTGCTTAAATGAATAAATCAAAGATGGTTTCTTGTTGATATTTGCATATCTGCTTAATGCTTAATTTACACATGGATGAGTAACTGCTAAATAAGTTGTAATGTCAATCAATAGTTAACCTGAGATTAGTGTTGCTTTAATTTGTTGTGTTCTTGAATGCACAATTTGTAGGAAAATCAAGGAAAGGCAGGATACCTTACTAAACTGGGAGGCCGTGTGAAGAACTGGAAGAAAAGATGGTTTGTCCTTGATGATGGAAATCTTTACTACTACAAAACAGAGGTATACACTGAACTCTATCAACATTTATAATCAGCACATACTTGTGTCAAGGTGATATTTTTCTGTTCTCTGTTACCTGTTTTAAGAGTTGTTATTTCTCAGTTAGGTAAAATGTTGTGAGTCTGAAAAACATTAAGTCACAAAATGTACTGAAAATTGTGCTTGTAGTTGGCAGACTCAGGGTGACACATTCATGAAGATACATGTACAGCTGTAGGTGTGAACCTCCTCTTTAAGATTTATTATGATTTACATATTAATTTATTTATGGTTTTGATCCATTTCATTGTTACAGAATGATGTCAACAGGAAACCTTTGGGTAAAATTCCATTGGATGGAAGCTGCAGAATTGCACGGACTGATGGTGCCCTGACAATTGAGGTAAGATTCTCAAGTAGTTACTGTTGTCACAACCTTGTCAAAAATTCCTAACATTACTTTAAGTCCATGTAGACTGTCCTGTGTAGACAGTTGTGTGCAATAGACTTGCTGCTTGTACATGTATTTGGAACCAGTGAGTACCATGATATTGGTGCTGTTCAGCAAATGTTTAACTCATACTTTTGCTCATTATATTGCTTGCTTGATTGCTAGGTTGCCACACCTAAAAGGACTTTTTACTTGACTGGAGAGACAACAGAGGTTGTGGACAGCTGGCTCAGAGGTACTCAGACACTCTTACTTGCTTTGTATGATTGGTAATATTTCGTTTTGATGCTCACTGTGTTCATGCTAAATGTGAAGAATCCAAGAATTTTTTAAAGTTAAAAGATTACCAACTTCTGTTCACTTGGCAACCACTGAGTTGGACTGTTGCTTGAAGTTTTCAAGGAAGTTACACCAAAATAATCCTCCACACTAGCTTTACTTTTAACCTCTCACCCCCTAGATCTTTAATATCAACTCTGGTTACTGTCTGTGACACATTTTAGCCTTGAGAATGTATTTTTTATTCAAATGATGTCTCGTAGACGAAGGTTTTCTTTCTTATCATTACCCCTCTGCTGGATAGCTTAGTGATATTGTAAGAAAAACCTCTTTTTAGTAACTTATTAGAGTGAAAGTGTTAAAGAGATCATTTTGCTGACCTGTGTTAGTTTTGTTATCAATAATTGGTTTCATTTGAATTTTGTAGTTCTTCATAATGTTATGAGGAAGTTTTCAAGTACTCCATTGTTTGCCCAAGTGAAGGAAAAAGAAATAATGAAAGGATGGATCACAAAGGTGCGATATTACAGCTGCAAGGTTTATGTTGTATGTTGTACTGTTTTTGTCAGACTCCTGGCGTATTGAATATATTGTGTAACGCCCTAGTCATTAAAATTATGTTCAAGTCAAAATTTAGATGGGTAATTTATGCATTTTTTTTCTGTTTCGTGTCCCATACAAGGTGAAGCATGGCTCTTCGAAAAAATGTTGGAGTGTTCTTCGTGGTCAATATCTTTGTTACTATAAGAGTGAAGATGACGCTGTAAGTAACTTTCCAAAGATACAATATAACTGTGCACTTTCTGGTTTATTATGTGTCCCTTTTTTGGGTTTTTTTGGGCTCAAATCTAAAGACGGACTGGTTTGTGGATTTATAGCGGATTGTCATCGAAGAGCTTCCCATGAGAGGGCCACAGATATCCATGAAATGCGCCATTACCTTTGAAATAAATGTTTCTTTGTATAGCTTTGTTCAGAAGAATGACTTAATTCTTGTTTATTTTCATGTTGCTGACATTTGTTGATCCAAATTTGGATCCTGCTACCGTAATGTTTTAAGTGTTGATTCGAGTTTTGCGCTTTCACAGGAAGTTAAAAAAGAATGGATTAAGCAAGTTAATTAACCATTGATTCAGTAATAATTTGATTATTTATTAAAATGATTGATAATCATCTAACCAAAGCTGAAATTTCCTTTAAAATTTTATTTGTTGTTGTTTTCACTTGTCAGGTGCCTTTTAGCATGACCCACATGATTGATGTGGTGGTTGAAGAGTTGGAATCACCCGACTCAGAGAACGGGAGCGTAGGCGATGCAGTACCGTATCGTCACTTCACATTGGTGATGAAGTCTCTTAAACAACCTTCCACCACATTCCTGTTGATTGATTCGATTGAAGAAAAGGTAAGAAAAACGTGGATCATTTCTCTCTCCTTCAAATGGGAGAGCCAACTTTCACCACCCTCCTGTGAATGATAATTGTCTGATGTGCAGCCTGAATGCTGACACTTAATCATGGGTTCGTTTTTCTCCTGCTTTAGGATTCATGGCTGTTCCATCTAAAAGTGGCATCTGGTAGTGGTATTGATGACATGGGAACGGAATTTGAAAAAAGCATATACCAGCTCATTGTTGAGGATTGTGATCCAGGTAACAACAGCTATTTTCCTTCAAAGGTTTTCCCTTCCCCGTTCCCGCCTGTCACGTAGGTTAGCTTTAAATATAGGTTATTGCAGTTTCTTTACCAGTCTTGTATTCTTAATATCCGGGTAAGGTAGTCGGTAGTTGTGACCGATGTTTCGACAACCTAAGCGGAAGTCATCATCAGAGTTCTCTCGTTCTCAGGACTACCCTCACCCAGACTACACAAACAATCGTTAGCCTCTGTCTGCTAGCGAATTTGAACCTTCGGATGTGGACAAGGGGCTTCCCCATCGGCGTGGGTTTAAATCCACTGTGACACCAGGTTTAGACCATTGACTGTTTTTAACTTTTGCGATATATATGTTAATTATTTCAGAAAGTGAGATATGGAATAGCTATGTGTTGACGCACAGTAAAGAGCCAATCATTGAACCACTCACAACTCTGCCATCCAAGGAGTTAGGAGCTGAAGCTTTGAAACTCTTTAAGGTTGGAACAATAACGTTAAGCTGCCGTTATTTATATTATCAATAGAAGTCTGAAAACCTGTAGCACTTTTGGGCCGTCTCTCTCTCTCTCACTATACTTTTGAGTTCCCTTCCACTTCTTTGTCACTTCTCAGTACTCAACAGTCGAAGAAAAACATGATTGTTAGTTACTTGACTGATCCAAGTTATTTTGTATCCCTTTGTGTGTTAGCGATATAGGTGTGATGAGCTAATGGTTAGAACACTTAACTATTCTATGAACAGTATGGACTGAAGCCTTTCAAATCGTGAATGTGTGAATGATCCTCGTCAAGCATTCTAATCTTGTCTCTCTTCACCCGCATGTATTTATGAGGGAACTGTGAGGATAATCTGATTAAAGCTCTTCGATAGCTCCTCTTTTTCCTGGTGTAGCACCTTCCCTGTTC